GCATTGTGGTCTGATAGAACACATGGAATTATTTCAATCTTTTTGTATTTGTTGAGGTTTGTTTTGTGCCCCTGTATATGGTCGATTTTGGAGAATGTTTCATGAGGTGCTGAGTAGAAAGTATGTCCTTTGGTGCTTAGGTGGAATACTCGGTAGATGTCTGCTAGGACTTGAAAAAGTTCCATGAGGTGCTGAGTAGAAAGTGTATTCTTTGGTGGAATAATCTCAAGATGTCTGTTAGGTCCATTTGATGTATGGTATCACTTAATTCAGATGTCTCCCTGTTTATTCTTAGTCCAGCTGACCTGTCTTACAGAGACAGTGGGGTATTAAAGTCCCCTACTATTACTGAGTTGGGGTTAATCTGTGTCTTAAAGTCCTGTAGTGTTGTTTATATGAATTTGGATGCACCAGAATTTGGAGCATATATGTTCCTGATTGTAATATCTTCTTGATTATTGTTCCTTTGATCAGAATGAAGTGGCCCTCTTTGTCTCTTCTGATTAGTTTTAGTTTAAATTCTATTTTGTCAGACATTAGAATTGCAACGCCTTTTTTTCTTTTAGTACCATATGCTTGGTATATTTTTTTCCATCTTTTCACTTTAAGATAGTGTCTGTCCTTGAAAGTGAGATGAGTTTTTTGCAGACAACAAAAAGATGGGTTTTGTTTCTTAATCCATTCACTTAGTCTGTATTTTTTGACTGGGGAGTTCAATCTGTTAATACTTAAAGTTATTAATGAAAGATGGGTATTGAATCCTGTCATTTTTATTTCTGTTTACATTCTTGATATAGCTGTATTTTTCCACAGTTATACCTTCATTGAATTTCTTTCCGCAACCCCTTGGGTATAGTCATTCCTTTCTTCAGCTCTTTGTATTGCTTTCAGAACTCTCTGAAGGGCTACATGAATTTCTTCAGCCTAACTGGGAATATTTTGGTCCAGCCTCCTCTGGCTTTCATAGTTTGCACTGACAAGTCAGCTGTAATCCTGATGGGTTTTCTTTTATATGTGACTTGTTTCTCTTTTGTAGCTTTCAGTATTGTCTCTTTGTTTTGCACGTTTAGTGTGTTTAGTATGATGTCCCATGGAGAGTTTCTTTTCTGGTCTTGTCTGTTTGGTGTTCTATATGATTCTTGTATTTGTATGGGCATGTCTTTCTTTAATTTTGGGAAATTTTCTTCCATGATCCTGTTGAAGAATTGGTCCATGCCATTATCTTGGGATTCTTCTCTTTCTTGTATGCCCATGATTCATAAGTTTGGTCTTTTTATGGTGTCACACAATTCCTGCATATTTTATTCTTGTGATTTCTTAAATTTTTCATAATCTTTGCTTGAGTGGTCTAGTTTGTCCACTTTATCTTCCAGTCTTGATAATCTGTTTTCCATTTCATTTATCGTATTGGTGAGGCTTTCTCCTGTTGTTTCTAATTGGCTTATTGAGTGTTCCCCTTCCTTCTTCATTTCAGCCTGAGTATTCTTCAATATTTCTAGCTCTTTTCTGAATTCATTAAGAAGTTTATCCCTATCTTCCTTCAGTTCTTTGATTTCTTTTGTGTGTTCTTTAAATTCACTGAATTCTTTTATCATGTTTATAATTGTTCTTTTGAGTTCCATGTCCTGCATTATCTCTAGGGGGGTTCTCACTGCACTCCTTTAGAGGAGTATTGGCATTTGGTGGGGTTATGTTATTTTGGTTTTTCATGTCATTTTTTTCTCTGTGATTTTGACATGTGAATTTCTTTCTTAGTTTCTGATTCTTGTGTGAGACTCAAGCCTCCAAGTTTAGATCTGCTTCTTTTTTTAAGCTTTATTTGTCTTTGTGGTTTACTTTTTGGGCATGAAAAGATGGTTCCTCTAAGCTCCCCGTTCTCTCTTTTGATTTTATATTGGAGTGGTCAGATTGCTTTTGTCTTCAGGAGTTCCCACCGAGGCCCAATTCAGATGATCAGCTCTTCTCAGGGTTTCTCCTAAGGTCTGGATCCCTCCAGGACAGATTTTGGCCTCAGGAATTTGGGGATTGGACTGGCCTGGGAGCAGGGCCCAGGAAAGATGCTGATCTAGGGCAGCTGGTGGCCGTGTCACCCCAAGATGCAAAGGGGGATGAGGGCAGGAAGAGGCCCCAAAGGCTCCTGGGGACTGCACTGAGGATCTGGGTTGGTCTGGATGCAAAGGATCAGGAAGCAGAAAGGTCAGCCCTGGCGTCCAGGAAAGAGGCTGGTGGGTTGTGCAGCCCAGGGAAGCAGAGGGAGGTGAGGGCAGGGCCAGGACCAGAGGGCTCCTGGGGACCCCAGAAGGAACTGGGTTGGTTTGGATGCAAGGAATCAGGAAGCAGTGGTGGTTCCCCTGGTGTCTGGGGCGCCAAGACAAGGAATGGGACAGGTCCCAGGCTAGGAGGAGAGACGTGGGGGGGGGGGGGGGGGGGGGGGGGGGGGGGGGGGGGGGGAGATGGGAGGGTGACTGAGGCTGGGGGAGTCAAGGTGCTGAGGGCATGATTGACTTACCCTGGAGAGAGGCCTGCGGGTCGTGCAGGCCCAGGGAAGCAGAGGGAGGTGAGCTATACCTTTTTTCTTACTCCTTTTTTTTCCTGACTGCCCCTCCTCTGCCCCCTCTGTTTTTTGACAGTCTCATGTAGCCCAGGCTTGAGCTCAGGATGTACCTAAGGATGACCTTGAACATCAGATCCTCTTGCCCCTACCTCTTGGGGTTGGGATACTGGGACTGCAGGTGTGTATGACCACACATAATGTATGTGGTACTGAGGATTGAACCCAGGGCTTTATGTATACAAGGCAAGCACTCAATCAACAGAGCCCTCATTTTTGTACCTCTCTTAACTTCATCCCTCTCTTCTTCCTCTCCCTTTGTCCTGTCTTCCTTTTTTGAGAAAATTTATGGAGGCATAGATATCACAATTAGGCCATCAAGTTTCTCTGTTGGAAACATGCAGTTTAAAACTTTGACCAAAGTTATCATGTGTGTGACTGTCATCACATATGCCTCTGATGCCTCCTCACCCCAATCCCTGCTTCTTCTTTAGCTCTCAGAGATCACAGATCCCCTTGCCTCTATGGTTTTGCCTTTTTAAAACCGTGGATCATGGGCTTTGAAGTCTTCTGTCTGGCTCTTTTACTTCACACACGTTTGCATGTATTCTCTTCTCTCCATCATTTTTTGACCTTTAGATGAAAAGAAATTTAATTTTTACGTGTATGAGTGTTTTGCCTGCATATGTGTAAGTGTACCATGTGCATGCAATGCCCATGGAGGCCAGAGGAGGAAGTTGGATCCCCTGCAACTGGAGTTATGGCAGTTGTTATCCACCATGTGGGTGCTGGGAACTGAACCTCAGTCCTCTGCGGAGCCATCTTTCCAGCCCTTCTCTTTAAATTTTTGAAACTAGATCTCACTATATAGTCCAGAGTGGCCCCCAATTTATAAGATTGAGATTACAGGAGTACCACCAGATCCAGCTCCCAGATATATCTCTCCCTTTGCCTCTCTCTCTCTCTCTCTCTCACTCTCTCTCTCTCTCTCTCTCTCTCTCTCTCTCTCACACACACACACACACACACACACACACACACACACACACACTTCCTTACTGCCTCTCTGACTTATCACCCTTAAGTCTTGACAGTCTTTGGTCCCTAAGACACAAGGAAGAGAAAAATCACAGTCCATAAACCCAGCAGATCCTAAGTGGAGTCTAGTCTGCCCCAACCCAAGGGAGCCTGGGATGTGTCAAACTTAGTGGTGGTGGGCAAGGAAGCAGAAGTGGAAGTAGGTGGGGTGGGAGGTGGGTTACAGCTCAAGATGGTTAGTGCTTGCCCTGGAAGGAAAATCAACACAAAACAAAGGTGGGAGAATAAAGTCAGTTTACCAAATGCACGGCTCCACTCCACTCAGGGTGGACTGAGGCCCGAATAGATGCCCTCAGCAGTGGGAGCTGCTGGACCTGCTTGGGCTGCTGGGCTGAGGGGCAGCAACAGAGCAGCCCACTGGGGGACTCAGCAGCCCCAGGCTCTTTCACCTGTGCTGCTGGGATGAGGTTGGTCCCCATGGATACTCATGGATGCTTAAGCCAGACCCCAAAGGAGAGTGGCACTGGTGCGAATGGTAACTTTGAACACACTGGCTTCAGTTTCAGTAAAGAGGAGGGAAGAAGAGAGGCACAGGGGGACACAGAAAGGGCTTCTGGGTGGAGAGGTCTTGGCTGTACTCCACGACTAGCTTCCTTGCTAGATGACCCGGTTTGGATAATTGCTGCTTTCATTGCCATCTCCGGACTCGGAACCTAGAAAGCAAGACAATCTCTCAGGACCACAACAGAAAGATTGTGGGATCTGCCATACAGGCAGATCACTGTCCTTCTTTCTCCCACCCTCCTGCCAGTGACCAGCCACACACATGGAAATGGATACCATTCATCTGAGGCTGGGGAATCTTTAGACTGCCTGTGCTGGGGTTCCAGGGGCAGCTGGACTGCAGGCTGCTTTATGAAGTTCTCAGTAGTCTCTGCACTCCAGTCTGGTGCAAAAAGTTTGCATGCTGATAGCTGGGAGGGCCCTTGCCTCCTTTCAGAATAGTGTTCCCAAGTAACTCTCTGCCACCTCATGTGATGTGGACAGGGTGGGGTGGGGCATGCAACGGCAAGGAGCAGGGGAGAATGGCATTGGGGTGGTGGTGGAAGAGTCCAGGTACAGCGGTGAGGTAGGGGAAGGGATCCCCTTATTCTTGGGGAAACTTGTTCTGTTTCTTTTTGCCTTGGCTTGAGGAAGCACTCCCTATTTAGAAACACTGTCACTATTGAAGAAGTGCAAGGAACAGGAGCGAGTAAACATCACCATCTCCACCCAGACTCTCTCAGCACTACCTCTTGTCTCAAGGAAGCCCCAGTCCCTCCAGGTGCCCCAGCTCCCTGGCTCACACAGTGCTTTCTCCAAAGGCTGGGAGCCTTGACTTGAGCTGCTCTGAGGGACCCTTCTGCTTGTCCCAGTTTCCATCCTCACCCACACACCTGTCAGCGGGTGATACTGCTCTCCTGCTGGCCTTACTCTTGGCTATAGTGATAGCCTTTTGTGCTAGCTGGGAAGCAGCTGTCAGAGGGTCTGGGTCACATAGAGCTGTGTGACAAGTTGGCACACACATCTAAGGACTCTTACCAGATGCCCTCACCTTAGTGCTATTGGTAAGGCTTTGCCTGGGGGCTTTGGTGCAAGGAAGGATGCCCAGTAAGCAGGTTGGCATGGGCACCACAGAGCCACAATGCAGCTGGTACCTTTTGTGCCACTTTGTGTGCCCTGATGTTTTCTATTTTCCCTCTTTGTTTACTTGAACTGAACTGGGGTGGCAGGTCATAGCTGTGACTCAGTGTTGTTGGCAGGCCAAATTAACCAAATGCTGCCAGTCAGGTGAGTCATGCCAGGCTGTGGGGACCAAAGATGAATAGTGGCCCAGGGGGAGGGCTGGCCGCCTCTGGCTCAGCTTCTGCTGCCCTGGCTTTTGTTTTGATAATAGCTTTGGTACAAAGCCAGGGCAAGGATTGCCACCAGCGAGGGTCAACCAGCGAGGACAGTCTGTTGGGCCCTATGTGCTGGGCTCTCCACAGCACACCTCCCCATGCCCTCTTCTCCCTATGAGTATCTGGGGAGAGTATACAGGGCTTGGGGCAGGTGGAGAGAACCAGCTGCTTCAACATCGGGCCTACCAGTGGTGGGTTGGATGCTAGAGCTGGATCAGCTCCCTGAACTGAGATGGCAAGTGAATGGCAGACAGTCAAGGGGACCATCTGCAGGAGAGCAACCGGAAGGGCTGAGACAGGATTTCACTTTGTAGCCCAACATGGCCCGGAACTCACTGCATAACCCAGGCCGGACTCGGACTCAAACTCACAGCAGTCTTCCCGCCTCAGCCATCACGCCACCACGCCTGGCAAGACGCCTTTCTAAGCATCCCCTGGGGATGCTCTTACACTCCCCCAGGGACAGCAGCCTTCGGTGGGGCACAGGCTCCTGAGTCTGGGGGAGCCCTCCCGGGCTGCAGGAGTCCCCGATGGACACGAGGGGGCGCCCCTGCCAAGCTGAACCTTTTCGGGCGCGCTGGCCGCCTCAGGTTCCGAACCCGGAAGCGCCGGGGGCGCTCCAGGGCGGGGCGGAGCCGAGGGCGCAGCTGGGCGCGGCGACCCAACCCTTGCAGGTCTCCCAGCTGGGGATGCTCCTCGCGGACCGAGCCCCTGTAGGAGCTCCGGGCCCGCTCCGAGGCCTTGCTGAGACCTCGCAGGCTTAGCCCCTGTAGGGACGCCTGGCCGAATTGGTGCGTGCTCGGCGACACAAAGGTCTTTTAGAGACCTCACGGCTCCCTTTCCTGCTGCACCCAGGTGCCACAGCCAGGGCCTGGGGTGACTGCGCCAGCATCCCGGGAGCACCTGGCCATCGGCGGTCTGGCTGGCCTTCCGCAGTGGTGCGGGAATTGGGGCTCCTTTTGTGAAGAGAAAGGCCCTCCCCATTCCCGAACACGGTCCGCCTGGTCCCTAGGACTGCGTGCCCTGGAAAGCAACTCGGCTTCTCCACGGTCTCAGCCTGGGCCCCACCCTGAGGAGCTGTGAGCTGGTGCAGTGCCTCTTCTGGTCATTCTTTTTGGGGAGGGGGATCCTCAAAGCATCCCCGAGATGGGCTGTGTCAGGATCAACAGAGGCTGTATGTGAAAGCCACATTCTACAGCCCCACCCCATCGCTGGAGCAGAGTCTGTGGGAGGGCCGGGGAATCTGTTTAGGGTAAGTTCCTCATGGTTATTGATGGTAAAGCCAGCGTGGGAATCTTAAACGTTTCAGGGCAGGTCGTTGTAAAAATTCTCCTCGAAGAACCAATGATCACATCCTTTCAATTCCCTGCGCTGTGTATTCTCTCTGGCGATAGAGTTTTACCTTAGTCTGACGCAGAGCCCTCTGCTTTAATTAAGCACATTTTCTCCAGTGGGAATTTCTATGGAATAAAGCACCTGTTTGAAGACAGCTGTCTTGCTTCACTGAGGAGGCCGGGAGACCTGTTGGCTTTGTTCAACCTCTAAATCCAGCCAGACCCACTTGACGGTGCCCAGTGGCATCCGAATCCAATCAAAATACTTGCTTGTCAAATAAATGTAATTCCCTTTGGTAATGGCAACAGGCCCCAGTTTGGGAAAGAAAAATCCTAGACAGGATGGTGGCAGGGCTCCTCAAGTGCTGGATGCTGGAGAATCCCAGCAAGGGAAAGGGAGGAGGCAAACCTCTTCCTCCTGCTGATACCCTCTTCCCCTTTGCTGACCCTTTTCCTTAGTTTCAGGATGAATTAAATTTCTTATCTGCTCTGTACCCAGCCTTCCAGATTGATTGTTAACTATGGCTAGAATTTCCCAAGTTTTATGGGGGTTATTTTTGCCTCTGGGTGGTGGTCATGACTTCCACAGTATTAGGGTCAAAGTAAGAACAGAAAAGGAGTGATTTACAAACACCCTCAAACACAGCAGGATTGACCCCCAAACCTACTTTCGTTTTCTTCCAGTCTGGGTTGTGGGTAATTTCTTGACAGCTACAAGAGAAGACAATGAGACATGAGTTGTTTTTGCAGTGCAGTTGTGAACAGATGTAGATCTCCCCGGCCTCAGGATGTTCTAGGACTTCCCGGCTCATCTTAAAGGGGCTGGGAAAAGACACGGGGTACTCAGGGCAAGGTAGGCATTCTGTACTGATAGACCTTAGCTTGTCCCAAGGACAGAGCAGCAGTAACCCAGATCACCTTTGCTGTTTCGAGGCTTCTAAATTTGGCAATGTGAACAGACTTGCTTCCTTTCAGCAATTGATCTGAATAGCAGAATCCCTTTCTGATGGTCCCCAGCACATTTACAGGCTGTGGGGAGGAAGGCTGTGCTAATTGGCCACTTGCCTCACCACTGGCTTTTAAACAATCGCTTGTATTCTCTGCTGGGCAGGAAGCAGCAGACCCATCCAGGCCCTGGGCTCTCTCTTTGTTCTGACTTTATGGCATTTAATGCCACAATAAGAATCGCTGTGTACTCCGTGGGAGCCCATTGTGCCAGGCTGCAAGGATGTGGGCCCCGTTGTAGAGGGCCTGGTGCTCTTCCCCAGGAAGAACAGAGGCTTTGTGACAGGCTGGGGACAAATCAGGGGGTGCTGGACACTGTTACTGGGCAACTCCATGGACTGGGTGGAGTCAACTCGCCACAGGCCCCTTTTCTGTGCCCGAGGGAGGGGCAGGGGAAGGATGGAATTTCCTGTACAGTAGCAAGTCCTGGTTACCTGGTGAATTATACATCAGGACTGTGCTGACCTCCACTGCCACATGCTCCGGGCAGCCAAGCTGACCTCATCATGCCTCCAGATTCAGTGTCCATCTGACCAGTCTTCACAGGCCACTAGGAATCCCCATTGTGGTGATCAGGGAACTTTTAACTATGAGTTAAACATGGGCTTTCTCGTGTTTTGGTAGATTTGCCCCTTTGAGGTAAGAGTTTCTGGTTTTGATGTTTTGGTTGTTAGCCTTAGCCTTTAACAGCTGTGCCATCTCTCCAGCCTGAGTTTCTGGTTTTATAGAGACAGTGTGAATGGAGAGAGTCCATTGAGGCAGAAATGGACCTGTGACACTCTACCTGCCTCCCAGGCCAGCCACTGTGCCCCCTCACCCACTACCAGCTTGGCATTTTCACTGTTAACAGCACACCTGGGGAAGAGGACAGAGGAGGGGACTCTCTCCAGAAGACACCAATATTCAGATAGAGACAAGAGCCAGACCAGGAGGCAGCCCATGATGGGGGTTTTAGAGAAGCAGACTCTAAATAATGGGGTGTCTTATGTGGGTGTGAAAGAGAAATGTGTGAAGAGGGCAAGTCTTCACCTCCCAGGCTAGGCTGTGTCCTATCAGACTAAAGGGTGAGCCAGGTAGGGTCAGCCAAGGCTGCTGGGGTCCTGTGGTTCCCTGGAGATACTCTTACCACAAACACCTGACTTGAGGAAAGGCTGCAGAAAATAGAAAATAACACCAGTACTTCCTTCAGCTAGTCCCTAATCTCTCTCTCTCTCTCTCTCTCTCTCTCTCATATCTCTCTCTGTCTCTGCCTCTCTCTGTCTCTCTCTCTCTCTCTCTCTCTCTCTCTCTCTCTCTCTCTCTCTCTCTCTCTCTCTCTCTCTCTCTCTCTCTCTCTCTCTCTCTCTCTCTCTCTCTCTCTCTCTCTCTCTCTCTCTCTCTCATATCTCTCTCTGTCTCTGCCTCTCTCTGTCTCTCTCTCTGTCTCTGCCTCTCTCTGTCTCTGTCTCACTGTCTCTCTCTCTCTCTCTCTCTCTCTCTCTCTCTCTCTCTCTCAGTCATTCATCCCCCCATGCTCCCAGTTGGGGCCCCTATTCCCCTATGCCATTGCCACAAGCTGGTTTCTTTCAGCCTGCTCGCCAGGTGTCTACCCCAGTTATCACTCAAATGCTCGAATCTCCTGGCCTGTCAGTCCCAGGCTGGAAACTGTCCAGCAGCCTCCAGAGCCACACCCCAGCCCTTCCTGCTCAGCACTTTGCCTACACTACACAGTCAGGATCACTTCCTGCCAGCCCCTGCCACAGAGGCTTGGTGTTCTCCACTCATGCAGAATTTTCCATATCTCTGTGCCTGTGTTTACCTCTACATAGATTCCCATCCTGCCCCACCATGGTCCACCTGCCATGTTATCTAAGATTCAGTCTAAACACCATCTCCTTCTTTGATTAGCTGACAAAGTCAGTAATGAAAGAGAGAGGGTAAATGGCACAACCTGCTGGATCAAGGCAAGGCCTCTTGAGTAGCACTGGCTGGTGTCCCTGGAGAGCCTGGCTGGAGCATCTGTCCTAGAGAAGTGGTAGAGGAGTGACGAGGGTTTTCCTCATTTCATCTGTCTCATTCTGCTTGTGCTTTTCCTCCACCTCAGTCTTGCATCAAAACACAGGCCAGATTCGAGATTCCCCTTGTTTACTTTAGATGCTGAGCTCCTTGTAATAGGCAGCAAGTGCCTTAATCTATTAGATCTCTATTTCTGAGATCTAATTTCGAACCTGGCACATAGTAAATGTGCAGAGTAAATGCGTACATCTTGAGTTCGTATTGTCTCTTTCTCTAAAACAAAATTCAAGACTTGTTCCTTGGAAGGACTAGGTTCTGATTCATGAGTTCATTGGAACTTGAAAAGTGATTGAGCATCTATTATGTACCTGCCATTTTCTAGACACTGGAGAACTTTGGGTTCCGTGCCCAGGTTGTTAATAAATAACCACAACACTTCATTTGGTATCCGGTTCCTGGACTCCATAGTGCCTGAGATACAGTCTGCAGTCAGTTGTAATTCACTCTGTGTCCAGATCAGCTCACAACCTCCAGTGGGGTTGCTGGAACCACCGGAAATGCAGCAAGTTCCGGCTAGGGAAGATATGTGTTGATGTCACAGCCTAGTTCACTGGGTTTGTGGGTTCTTCTACCCACATGCTGTCTTCCAATCTTTTTTTTTTTTTCTCTCAGCTTGATGGTAAAAGCAAGTTCCCCAAAGAAAGAGGACATAATGACATCACGTCTGACAATCACATTCCCTGAGTCCCATCTGTGAAACTTAAGTTCCATTGTCAACTTGATTGCATTAAGAAATACCTAGGACTGAGGCTGGAGAGGTGGCTCAGAGGTTAAGAGCACTGGCTGCTCTTACAGAGGACTTGGGTTCGATTCCCAGCACCCACATGGTGGCTAACAACCATCCCTAATTCTAGCTCCAGGGGAATCCAATGCCTTCTTCTGACCTCCTCGGGCATTGCATGACATGGGTATACTTACATACACGCAGGTGATACACTCATATATAATAATAATAATAATTTTTTTAAAAAAGAAACACCTTTTATTTTTTTAAATTTTATTTATTATTTTTATTTTATGCATATGTGTATATTGCCTGCATGTAGGTAAGTACACCCATGTTGTGCAATGCTCGTGGAGGTCAGAAGAGGCTGTCGGATCCCCTGGGACTGCAGTTACGGACAGTTGTTAGCTGCCATGTGGGTACTGGGATACGAACCCAGGTCTTCTGCAAGAACCACCAGTGTTTTTAACCACTGAGCCATCTCTCCAGCCCCAAGAAATACCTTAAAAAAAAAGAAAT